TTGTCAGCATCCACTCTATTCCCCACTGCCAAGCAGAGGTAACAATTTTTATTATTGTCTTGTTTCTGCATGTATCTTCTAGCCTTTCTTCATGTACTCTTTAGTGCCAATTTGACCTTACCTTTTATTTCTCTTTTTTAAAAAAATTTGACAGAGGGTGTGTGCTTTCACCAGAGAGAGAAAAAGAAAAAGGGAAAAGAGAAAGCACTTCTCATGGGGAATGCTCATGTTATAATACCTTTTACTCCATCTCTCCCTCCTCTTGGGATTTTGGACACACACTCACACTTACCTTTTGTGTCTTTCAAGCTGCTGGATCTAAGACTTGAACCACGTGTTCGGCCTTGTGGGACCCAGTCACCTTAATCACCAAGTCCCTGACTGGCCCCAACACCTTATTTATCATTGTCTTTCTAAACTAATCAGAGTTGACTGTCATGCTGAGCTTTTAAGAGCTGCAAGATCTGAATCTAGATTTACTCCAAGGAAATGCAAGTATGTGTACCATAATCAGAACTGGTTCCATAGATCCATGCAAGAGAAGGCAGTAAAAAGCTCTGAGTATATGTGATGGCTCTAATGGTTTATTTGAATTTTGGCTTGAGGCAAGTCTCAGTCTAGAAAAATCTGTGCAGCTCAGGAGCAAAGGTCCATTCTCCCCTTCTCCTCCTCCTCCTCCTTCTTTCCTTTTCCTCTTCCCCTAGACTTTGGCCTGCTCTGGTGAAGCAGGCATGGTGCCCTGCCTGGCAGCCCAAGGTTTGGCCTGGCCCTCTGCTCTTGATGAGCCTTTGTCCTGTTCTAGCATCCCAGTATGTCCTGGCTTCATCCCATGTGCCACGTCCCAAGTTGCACACCAATCACTTCCGCAGCCAACCTCTACAAAGCAACTCTGTCTTTCCAATTAGGAAAAAGCCACCTGAAGTATTTCCTCTCTATGCCCATTAAATATCAGGAATTCTTTTCCAAGTCAAAGTCTTAATATAACCTTCTGGCTTCTCATAAATGACACTTTTAAAAGGTGTTTTATTTTCAGTTAGCTAAAAGCAAGGCAATCTCAATAACTACTTAATTTAAAACAATATTTTCTCAGAAACAGGATTCTTAATTACTTTTAAACTAAGGAAACGAATGCCCTTGAGGAGCAGTTTCTAATGGACGATTTTAAGCTGACTCTGTTTTCATGTCTCACCAACCTCTTTGATCCAAAAAACACTTACTGATTTTTACCCAGGGAAATTCCACTCTATAGAGTTCTGGCCTGAGCAGGAGATCAAGATAGCAGTGAAGACTCCCTTAGGTGGGCATAGTCTGCTTCTCCAGCCCTCTGCAAACTGTCATGACCTCAGGCTTGTTTACTCACATGAACCTATAGGTGCTACCTTCCCCTGGGTTATACTTCTTTTTTTGACTAAAATCAGGATAGCTCCCTGTTGTGAGTTTAATCATGTCCTCCTACCCAAATTCATATGTTGAAACCCTGACTCCCAGTACCCCAGCATGTAACTTCATTTGGAAACTATGTCACTGAAATGTAATTAGTTAAGATGTGGTCACACTGGAATAGGGTGGGATCCTTTTCTTATATAACTAGTGTCATTTTGAAAAGGGGAAATGTGAACACAGAGACACACACTCAGTGACAATGCCATGTGAGGGTGAAGGCAGAGATCAGGGTGATGCTTCTGTGAG